CTTTCTAGCAGGAATTCTAGCAGACCATAATGTGTAGTAATTTATATTAAAGTGGTAGATCAGTCCAGAAAAACCGTTGCAACACCTTGTCTGGTTAAGATTTTTCTTTCTAATGTATATGGGTGATTACTAAATAAATTGCTTTAAATAGGTGCAATTATCATAGTTCAAAAGACATGAATGACGGGTTATTCAACCACTCACACAGAGTTTTAGCTGATTTATTTGCCTCTCCAGATTCGCAAGTGGAAAGATGAACAGAAATAAGTCTGCCGGAAAATTACTCCCGGTCATGGACCTGTGCGAAGGTTCTTTTTGTTATTTACAACTTTACCAGACAAACATACTTGAAGGTAATGTCCGATTCACAGGAGTTCGTTACAGTCACTGATTTCTAATGCCTCTCAACAAAGTCCAACAATAATTAAGATGTAGTTTCTGGTGAGATAAGTATGTAAACGTATAAAATGTGAAATAATTACCACGAAAGGTATAGACAGGGTGTTGAAATTCAACAAAAAAATAAATTGTAGTTGTAGTTAGACGTCCAAGTTTATTTTTATTTTTAGCTTTTATTTTTTGTTTTTGATCCCATCATTATTCTACGAGGTGGTTGCGACTAACTTTCAGTAGTTCAATTGAGTACAGTTTTCAAATACCGTTTGACTCATAATAAAAAACAACTCAAGATTCCCCTAGCGATTAGGTAGCAAAGCTATGGTAAATGCTCAGTAAGTAGCTATCAAACCTACTTCTCGACAGCCCCCTATTTTATCTACGTCAAAAATTGAGGTGTATATACAAGATCATTTGGTTGCATCACGTATTATAGCAGCTCACTGGTTCACGATATTTATAAATTACATTAAACTTGCGCTGGACCTTCTTTAAGCGTCCTAGATGAACCACACAATTGTTAATGCTAATACTGTACTTCCTGTCGACGGTGATGTTCCTAGAACCGGACTGCATTGTTTATTCTAAAAAGGTACGTAGGCCTCACTTTTACAGTACAGTGCAAGAGGCCAATAGTGCAAATTCACTGGAAAGTTTGTCAATAGAAATATTTGATAGACTTTTCTCCTATTACTGTCCTTTGAAAGTCAAGTAACAAGCATAATGAATGTATAAATTGTCTAAGCGACGCACATGACCTAAACACAATTATCCCACAGGTTGCCCACATGCTTTGTAACTATAAAAAATCGCGTCAAGTAGGTTGACTCTCACTTATCACGAACGCCGTTATATCAGTTCGTAATGGATTATCTTCAGTACAAACTAGACCCTCTGAGAAATAGTCAGTCAAACAGGTCCATGGAATTAGACATTTTTTCTCTGCCCCACTGGTAGTGCATATGGAAACGCCGTTCCTCCCCGATAGTCAGATGTGGCAACGCAGTCAGAGCTTAGGAAACACTATGATGTGTGTTATAGTAACATGTCATAACAATTGAACATTCACCAAGTTTTAAGAGCTAATGTATGGAAAACTCTATGATGTGTGAAATATGTCTCATCGGTGCATAGAATTACCAAGTTTGGGAGTGAATAAATGTACTAACATGAAAAAATTCAGATAAATCCTCCTACCGCCCACAACCCCACCCCCAAGCTTTGTTACCTTTAATTTTTTTTTCAAAAATAATAAGGAATCTCTGAAACGTCAAAAAAATCGAAGTGTGGGCGACTTGAATTCTTATTTGTTTTTGACCTTTTTATGTGTAAAAATTTCATCCAAATCCGAGCAATACTTCTCACGTTATAGGCGGTTATAAGATTAGCGGACAGACCGACATACAGACAGACTGACGGAAATGAGTGACAGGCTTTTTCGTGCTGTGGTAACATCGAAAATTTTCACGAATATAATACTTTCCCGTCAGTAGGAGTACGAAGTAAAAGCAAAGAAAGTCTGAAAAAAAATCGAAAAGTAATATAAAGTTTTTAATTTATCTCAAAACCGCTTCAAGTACGGACAGCGCACAGGGTTTCTTGAAAGTTGGAACTATCCCTCTCATAATACGTTTGAAATAACAAAACTGTTGCATGCTACAAGAGCAGCGAAAACGAAAAAAAAGTAATTGAAGGAAAATGCTCGGTTTTCAGTTGTAAGCAGCTTCACGGCGGAAACATCAAGGAAGAGGATATGAACATACTCGCGAAGTATCAGTAGAATCTTGAAGACGCTCATCGTAAACCGGCATCAAATCGATAACCCCGTTATTGCTTCAGGAAGGTGCCATCATATTTTTCAAATCCGACTTGTAAATAAGGTTAACCAAAACACCACGCGGCACCTGACGTGGATACTGCCACACAACGCATCACAAATTATGGTACCATTTCATTTAGGATGCAGGGCCGAGTGCCACGCCTTTTTTTGGTTGATTAATAAAACACAATGATAAATACTATCTAACGGTTGGTCCAAGCAAAACAGTTGTCTAGTGGCTTGCAAATTTAGGACCTAGCTCCATAAAGCGATGAGTAGGGGGGAGGGGGGTTAAGAGCGCCAGTGACTTAGGACGGATTAAGCCACAACTCCCCGAGATGTTAGTCGGAACAAAAGGAGAATCTAACAGAGATGACGAAATTTAAGTAACAGTACACCCAGAGAGAGCCAAATAAAACAAGATGTTAAATGAATCAAAATATATTGATTAATAAAAAAACGCACATATGCTCCACTACTGCAGTGCGAGTAATAAATAAAGAAAGAAAGGATGTTATAAATCTTAAATACAACCTGACAAAATTATTTTTCGAGATAACCCCGCGAAACGTCTACCATGGTATACGCCCGAAATATTTACAGATATTTTGCGCCTAAATATTAAACTTATATGTAGGTCTTCTTTGTCAGGCGCGGCAGGATGTCCTCAACTCTGGTCAAAAACTGGCCAGTAGCGGGCACGTCACTGGGCAAGGGCTGCTTGTCTCGTTGCCAAAAATGGTAGTAAAGAAAAAAAACCTAGAGAGAGAAAGACTGTTTAAAAATCTACTCTACTCTCTGTCTGAGATAAAACTACTCATTGAAAACAATCGCTCTTGAAGCATATCCATGTACAAAATGCTGCCGCCGCATCACGGATTTATGCGGATCGGTTTCCCAATCGAGTGCAACCAACCCCTCGTGCCTTTGTTAATGTAGTACAAAGGGCTCGTGAATCAGTTGACTTAAGACCTCACAGAGGAGGGCATGTCGGTGCTCCAAGACCGCACGATCAAATACAGGTCCGCACTGAAATACTTGTCGGGAGGATGCTTTATGAAACAAGGTAACATTTTTTTTATTTTTTTTTTATTTTTACACACATATTTTGGTTTATCTTCCTTCTACAATCATTATCTGAAAATTAATGACTCAACTTCAAAGTCACCCTGTATAAAAAAGAACTTGCCGCTGAGGGTCAAAATCCCATAAAAAAATGGAAGACGTAGCACCCAAACCAAAATAACTAAACCTAAGTTACACAAAAAAAGGGGTGCTAGTCCATGAATTGGCGCTTGGGGCCTAATACCCCAGAGTCCGGAAAATGACGAAACGACCCCTGCACCGCGACCTCAACGGAAACAGAAAAGGCCGTCACGCAGAACACGTAACGTTCTAGAAGAAGGTATCTTGAATGGCCTTGAAGTTGTTTGCTGATCGTCAACACCATACTGAATCGCTGAGAAAGAAATATAAAATAAAGATTTGTCCTTGGAACGAGCACTCAACGAAGAGAAATTCAAATTACGGATAAGTGATAAATAGTAAAAAAAAGGTTACGTAATTTTGGCCCGTTTTTAGTTTTTCGGAACTCAATATCTCTAGGTAGCTGGAGGCGTCTTGTACTTACTACTAGGCAAACTTGCTTGTTGTGGCATGATCGATACTCTCTGTAAAGTTAGTCCCTAACTTCAAGGATACCCTGCATGATCAGTGCAGTAGCTCACCATTTTTGTGAGCTGGGTTTTATCTGAGCTTTGTACAGAATGATAAGGTTAAATTTTAAAAAGTATACCATTACAGTGCGCCAAATCTAGTCTCGTACTACCTGGATGGCATAGTTTTGTGGCTAAGTTCGGCCATGCATTAAAACAGGACGTGAGTTTATGCACCTCAAAACTTGTCATTTAATTTAAAACTTTTCACGGTAAGGCGAACGGCATACAACTGACTCGGGGAATTCTGACGGCTTTTCCACGAAACCACAATATTCCGCACTTTAAGAAACGTTGCTCTATTCTGTTATGCCAGTAAAAAACATAAAGAGCCATTCAACTCTCACATCCATGCCTGTCTACTGCTGCGATTGTTATCGTGTCTAACAGCTCTGAATACGGCTTACGTGCCCGGCCGACAAATCAGTTGACGCTTGACGCTCTCCTATTTCTTCCGCCATTTTGGTTCCGCGCGTACAGTTACACGATGCGTTATTCAAATTTTTTTATTCGGTTCGCACGGCGACGTGACTGGCTATCACTCACAATCAATTATAGTGGTCGATTTGATATTATCATACATCAGTGGCCTATTTTGCATATAGATGCGTATTAGATACGCCCGGCAATCAGATAGCCTAGGTCAGTTTAGAAGGCGTATTTTTGCGAATACGATTAGCTCCTGTTTCCTACCGGCGGGGAAGTATTGTAATCGCGGACATTTTCGAACATGAGGTATTATGTTTTTTGGATGTTATATATGACGTGTATGTTACATCACGAAAAAACATGTCACTTATTTCCGTCGGTCTCTGTCTGTCGGTCTGTTCGCTAATCTTATAAGATCCTATAAAGCATCCCACAAACCGGCGCGAAATATTCGCTTTGGCTGCGAAAATTTTGCGGCGATGAATTCGCGATCAGATTAAAACGCGGCGGTTTACGGACAGGCTCAGACTTGTGCGAAGCGAATGCGATTGTTCCAGCGTTTGTATCGCGGCGTATTTCAGTTCGCCTTTGACCGCGTTTTTGACGCCGTTCTTCAAAAATTCGCAATGGCAAAAACGGAATTATTGATAGAAATAGTGAAAAAGTATCCTTGTTTGTATGATTTGTCGAACGATGAATACAGGAATTCGAGGATCATTTGCTATATCAGTAAAAGCTCCAAGCACGGGTTCTGGGGGATCTAAGAATTGAAAATATTTGTCATCGCCACTTTTACTTCGTAAAAAATTGTGTAAAACACATGCAGTACGTACAATTAGAATAGTAGTATCTACTTTAGTTTCTAATGGCCTGTAAAATATTCGCCATTTTTGAGACAAAATACCAAACGCATTTTCCACGACCCTTCTAGCTCGACAAAGTCTTACATTGCATTTCTCTTTTCTGACGTCTGATAAAGTCTGCTTATAAGGAAATGGTCTCATAAGGTATGGTTTTAAAGCAAATGCTTCATGACCAATTAAGACGTACGAGCAGATTTCATTTTGCCCAGGGAGAAATCTAGGTGCAGGGACACTCATTAAATCTTGTTCAAATCGTTTTCCCATGTTTGAGGTTTCGAAACTACCCCCATCACTATCTTTTCCGAAACCACCAATATCAACACATATAAATTTATAGTCCGGGCCAACAATGGACATAAGTACTATTGAATATTTATGTAAATAGCACCAGTAATTGGAGCCACTTTTGTTAGGTCTCTTGATTGTTACATGTTTACCGTCCACGCTGCCAATGCAATTGGGAAATCCCCATCTATTTTCAAATTCTTCAGCACATTTTTTCCATATATTCTCTGTTGGTTCTGGTAAATATATATGCTCCATATGTCTGCATATCGCTTCACAGACTTCGGTTACGATTGCACTCACTGTTGTAAAGCCAACTCGAAAGCTATGCCCAATGGTATAGAAGGTGTCACCAGTGGCAAGGAATCTATAAAAAAATCGTTTTTAGGTGATGAAGTAAAAAAAGGTGGAAGAATATCAGAGACACATTTGCAAAATATATAAAATCTACCAAACCAAAGACCGGCCAAGCAGTGGGCAATATAAAAAAATGGCAGTGGGCTGACTACATGGAATTTTTCCGTCCTTTTTTGGCATTTGCCAAAACGTCGTCTAATGTGAAAGATATTGACGTCATACATTATGAAACTGCCGAATTTAACTCAAATATATATCAGGAAAGGGCTGGAAATGTAGAAACCGAAAATTTGGAAGACCGCGGCCATGGAGAAGATGAAAATGCTGATGTAGATGCAGAAGATGCACAGAACGCCTCGGCAACACAGACAGCACCACCTTCTTCATTGAACACTACAGCAGTGACTACTCCAGGGCACACCTTTCCGCAGACTGCAACTACACCATAATATAAAACGAGCAGAAAACGCTATGAACCACCATCTTCATCTGTACAACAGCTCATTAATTATTTTGAAGGTAAAAAACCAAAAAAAGAGAACGAGGCCATTGATTCACTTTTCTTGGTACATGCACAGACTGTGAACACACTTCCCTCAAAGCGTCAAGCCTGAATAAAACTAAAAATAGCCGAATTAATAGCGCACGAAGAATTTGAACATATTGAAGAAATGTCTTCAGCGTCTGCCCAGAATTCTGCAAGTATGTATGATAGTAGTATGTCGTCCTTCCCAAGCGGCACTGGGTTTACTCCAATAATATACCCAACAGAAGAGGCAAATTCTGCCTCGAATTATTTAGCAACATTTAATCCTAGTGGCAACATGTAGTCCAATTATTACAATAAAATATTTATTTCACAATCCCTGAAGTTTTCGTATTCGATAAGCCTACTAATTTTAATACATATAATTTTTTTACCTGAGTGTAATAGCAAGTCGTTCTTCTGGCGAAATAGCTTCACGATAATTTGTGTCAGATTTTCGTATTTCATCTTCCACCAAGTTCAATATTTCATCGAAACACTCTGGAGTCATTCTAAAATATACGTAAAAGCGATGTTCATCCAGCCGAAGTTGTGGCATCAAGATATGGTTTTCCCCAAATTTATTTCGTTCCAAGTTAATATCATGTACCCACTTCCTTCGTTTCCTAAACAAAATTGAAAATATTTGTTTTATGTACTTCGTTAAACTTAATACATACCAACTATCAAATGGCGTTAAATAAACATAACTTACCGTGCATTTTGTTCCTCTTCTAAAGAAAGAAATAGAAGTGCCTCCTCTTCTTCTGAAGACGAGCTCATTGCAAAAGGCAAAAATAAAATGTACGCAACCTGTCGAAACCTTCACGTTCGCGGAGCGAATAAGACGCTTTGGTATGAATAAACAGGCGAAACAGATTGCGAATTTCGCTCTGAATTTCGTTGCGAATACTTCGCCGCGATTATTTCGCGCCGGTTTGTGGGATGCTTTAACAGGCGAAACAGATTGCGAATTTCGCTCTGAATTTCGTTGCGAATACTTCGCCGCGATTATTTCGTGCCGGTTTGTGGGATGCTTTAATCGCGTTGGTTTGGGGGATCCTTAATTCGCGACGACATTGTCGCCCAGGGACTCTTCTCGTAGAAGCAAATGAACAAGAACAGACCTGTGCGTCAATTTCGCTCACAGCGGTGCGACAGTGCAGCGACTAAATTTTAATTCGCTGGTTGCACGATTTTTATCGTTGTCGCAATGGCAAACACTAAAAACTTCTGGAAATAATTAAACAATTTCCAATTCTCTGTGACTTGAACAACGAGGACTACAAAAATGTTCGAAAAAAAGACAAAATCTGGGATGAGATAGGAGTGGAAATGAATGACACCGGTAAGTTACTCTTTACTGAGAAATTATTATAATACGTTTATTATTTATGAATGTCTTAGCTAAGCTGATCTTGACCAACAATATTAGTAGTTGAAGTAGTCAACAAATTTTTCTCGTGTAGAAAATGCCAGATTCGTTGCACGTCTTGGATCATTTTCGATGTTGGTAAAGGCTTGTGATGGATCTGGATCTTCATCTAGAAGGTGTATAAATATACTGTTCGTCACATTGCTTACTGCGTAAAAAATTATGCAGAACGCATGTAGTTTTTACTATTAAAATTGTAGTATCTGTCTTCGTTTCCATGGGCCTATAAAAAATTCTCCACTTTTGAATCCCAAAAGCATTTTCCACTACTCTCCGCGCCCAGATTGTATTTTTCTTTTCTAGCATCTGCTTTCGACTGTCTATATGGAAATGGTCTCATTAGGTAGTGTTTAAGGGCAAATCCTTCATCTCCAATCAAAACATGAGGGCACACCGTTTACTGCCAATCCACTGCGATCTTTTCGCTTCGATATGAAAATCCCTCAGATGTTCGCAGCGAATTTCGCAAGAATTATATCGGCACGAATATCGCAGCGGATTAATCGCATTGGTTTGGGGGATCCTTAACTTGAGAAGTATCGCTCTGATTTCGATGAAATTTTCGCACAATGTTACTGATATGCCAAGGACGCAGAAACTTTGTAGTTTTTGAAATTCGGTCCAGCAGCGGCGCAGAAAAACACCAAAAACAAAAATCACGACAATTTTCCCAGAAATTCTACACACATATTCGGCATATTTCACTCACCATAGATGTCCCATAACATTAAAGGATCCCACAAACCGGCGCGAAATAATCGCGGCGAAGTATTCGCAACGAAATTCAGAGCGAAATTCGCAATCTGTTTCGCCTGTTTATTCATACCAAAGCGTCTTATTCGCTCCGCGAACGTGAAGGTTTCGACAGGTTGCGTACATTTTATTTTTGCCTTTTGCAATGAGCTCGTCTTCAGAAGAAGAGGAGGCACTTCTATTTCTTGCTTTAGAAGAGGAACAAAATGCACGGTAAGTTATGTTTATTTAACGCCATTTGATAGTTGGGTATGTATTAAGTTTAACGAAGTACATAAATTAAATATTTTCAATTTTGTTTAGGAAACGAAGGAAGTGGGTACATGATATTAACTTGGAACGAAATAAATTTGGGGAATACCATACCTTGATGCCACAACTTCGGCTGGATGAACAGCGCTTTTACGTATATTTTAGAATGACTCCAGAGTGTTTTTATGAAATATTAAACTTGGTGAAAGATGAAATACGAAAATCTGACACAAATTATCGTGAAGCTATTTCGCCAGAAGAACGATTTGCTATTACACTCAGGTAAAAAAATTATATGTATTAAAATTAGTAGGCTTATCGAAACTTCATACAAACAAGGATACTTTTTCACTATTTCTATCAATAATTCCGTTTTTGCCATTGCGAATTTTTGAAGAACGGCGTCAAAAACGAGGTCAAAGGCGAACTGAAATACGCCGCGATAAAAACGCTGGAACAATCGCATTCGCTTCGCACAAGTCTGAGTCTGTCCGTAAACCGCCGCGTTTTAATCTGATCGCGAATTCATCGCCGCGAAATTTTCGCAGCCAAAGCGAATATTTCGCGCCGGTTTGTGGGATGCTTGATCCTCACAACTTTTTTCTTAGAAGGGCTAAACATAATCCTTTACGAAGTGATGATAGCGGAGCGTGGAAAGTACACAGTCAACTTACTTGACGCCTTGTTTTTTCTCTGTGACTTGAAGTCTGCCCATATAAAAACCAGCTCATGTAGAAAGCCGTATTCATTTGCCATTTTATACAACTTTTCTTGATAGTATGAATATAAAATTTTTTTTTGAGAACTTGCTTGTTACAGTGTTTTGCAGGCTACAAATCATTGAGGTGTATCGCATCTATTCAAAATAGATAATGTAGTTAACGTCGAGCGTTATGCATTGTGATATTTTTTCCGAACTGTTTTCGCTCTAATGATATAATTGTTCGAGTAGCAATGACTAACTATAATCACCACGCTTCCTGTTATTATATTGGAGAAAATGACAAGCTCATACATATTTTTTCCTCGTGTTATACAACGTAATAAAAATGATACTTCATAATCATTACCCACGACGTTACGTAAAAAATATATGTAATAATGTGATTCGGCGAGTGCCATAATATGATGGATGTGCTTGAATTTTTTTGTTGAATATTTTCTCTCGATTTAAATGTAATCAATTTTAACTTGCAATTTGCCGTTTCTTCTGCAAATTGTCTTTCTTTTGTTCCGCTTTTATCCAATCGCTACTAATATATTTTGAATGTAACAGGTAACCTGTAACTCAAGGAAGTAAGAGAAATGCCAAGGAATTTGAAAAAAAAATACAGCTTCGTAGGAAATGTTTTTTAAAAGAAATTGGACACAAAAAACCTTTTTTAAAAGGCAGTAACACCAATGTGAGAAAGAGCGTTGTCACTTTTTTTTTGGTGGAAGAAATGGAAACTAAATAATAATATTGGAAGCAGTTATTAGCATATATCGAAGAAACAAAAATTATCTTAAAATATATTCAAAAATGCGGCACCTCAGCATTTCCACATTCATATTTTTTACAATAATTTAGAAATACATTTAAGGAGAAACACTTTGGAGATTTTCGGATTTCGGATTTTTTTAAGAGAAACGCTTAGGAGATTTTCGATAAGTAAGTATTACCATGTTTTCGTCAAAAAGAGAACGTTTTAATTGAAATACTTGCTACACACATATCAATTATCAATATTTTAAAATCCAATACGTATTTTTCTAGCTATAAATCAATTCGATTCCAATTTTTGAATACAGAATTTCCTCAACCTTCTCGGATACGATGCTTCCTCGTCATGTTCCAAGGACATTCTACTTTGAAATCGGCAATATCTTTAAAAAATTTGAGTACGACTCATTGCTTCATCATCATAAGTTTG